TACCCTTCAGAGCGACAAGCAGAGCTTCGGGTGCATGGCGGCCGCGCCCTACGGCTCCTCCCTCATCCTCCCCATCTCTTACGCCTACATCTCCCTCATGGGGTCTCAGGCCCTCACAAACGTGCGCGCCCCGCCAACAGCCGGCACATGCGCACGTGGCGCACGGTGCCCCCAGCCCCGCCGCGCCGCCGCCTTGGAGTCGGATGCGTGCTCCCCGCCCGCCTGCCCCGCCCTCCTGCCGCCGCCTCCTCACCCACCCTCTGCCCCACCTCCCGCAGGCCTCCAAGCTGGCCATCCTCAACGCCAACTACATGGCCAAGCGCCTGGAGCAGCACTACCCCGTGCTCTTCCGCGGCGCCAACGGCACCTGCGCCCACGAGTTCATCCTGGACATCAGGTGGGGCTGGCTGTGGCTGGATGCTGGGGCTGGCTGGCTGGGGCTGGCCATGGCTGGCTGGGTGGGTGGTGGTGGTGGTCATGCGATAGTGGTGGTGATTGGTGTGGGGGGGTGGGTGTGGTGAGGCTGGGCTGGCAGTCTGTTGGCTGCCGCCCCGGCTGCCCAGCTGGCCGCTGCCTTGCCCTGGCTGCTCGTCGGGAGCGCCGTGTTTGACCCCGGTGCCGCCCCGCGCCCGCAGGCCCATCACCGACGCCACCGGCGTGGAGGCGGAAGACATTGCCAAGCGGCTCATGGACTACGGCTTCCACGCCCCCACCATGAGCTGGCCCGTGGCAGGTGGGCCTCGGCTGGGCTGCACCGGGCTGGCTGGCGGGGCGGGCATGCAATCAGGACCCTGGCGTGGCTGCGGGCGGGACCGCTCTGCCCTTCATCCCTGCAATGCCGGCCCTCTCCACCCCTGCCACGCCACACACTGCTGCGCACTTTTCACACGCCGGCCTGCGCCGGCCTGCGCCCCCCTGTGTGCTCCCACCCCTCGGCAGGCACGCTGATGATTGAGCCCACTGAGAGCGAGAGCAAGGCGGAGCTGGACCGCTTCTGTGAGGCCATGATCTCCATCCGCCACGAGATTGCCGCGGTGGAGGCGGGCAAGGTGGGGCGGGCCAGGGGCGGGGGTATGGTTCAGGGGAGGGAGGGCAGGGGTCGATCTGCAGGGGAATGCGTGTCTGTGTTTTCTGCTGGATGGATCAATGCATGGCCTGGCTGCGGCATGCATGCCCAGCTGGCAGGCGAGGTGGGCATGCGGCATGCGTTGTGCCCTGAGAGCCAGGCAGGTCGGCTGAGCACGCTGCCTGTGCCCCCGCCTCTCCTCCCGTCCCCAACCTCGCCCCCGCAGGCCGACCCCAAGAACAATGTGCTGAAGCACGCGCCGCACTCTCCCGACGTGGTGCTGGCCGACACCTGGGACCGACCCTACACTCGGGAGCTGGCCGCCTACCCCGCCCCCTGGGTGCGCCAGGCCAAGTTCTGGCCCACCACCAGCCGCGTGGACAATGTGTACGGCGACCGGCACCTGGTGCTGCGGCTGCCAGAGGTGGCGCCCGCGGGCGCCGCGGCTGCCGACGAGCCCGCCGAGGCCGTGGCGGCGTGAGCTGCCCTCGCGCGGGCTCGCCTCGGGCTGGCCGGGGCCGGCCGGCATGACTGGCTGCCCGCCCCGCCCGCGCCAGCTTTTGTTTGACCACACACACTCGTCCGACTGTGCACCCACGTTTTGGCGTCTGAAGCGCCGCCTTGCCGCGCAGCTCGGGAGCGCGGATTGCAACGCAACGTTTCCCCTCGCAACGCCTTCCTCCCCACCTGCTTTTTAACATTTGATTGCCCCTGCGCAATTGCCACCCATTCTTACGTCCCCCCCGGGACGCTGCAGCAGCCCTCCTCCCAAGAAATGAGCCCTGCGTCGTGTAATGCAACACGACTTGAAGTGGAGAGGAAGGGAGGGAAGAAGTGATGATGGGTGGTGGGAAGGGGGGTTTGGGTGGCTGTCTTGGTTGCCTGGCTCAACTGGCAGGGTGCCTTGGCACGCGCCAGCAGCCGAGCGAGCGGGCGGCCGGGCCGAGCGGGCGGCCGCGCTGCGGCGTGCACAGCGCGCCGCTGGCCATGGACCTGACCGCGGCGCCCAATCGTCACAAGCTCGCATCCGACAGGACCTGTGCATCCCGCAGTTCCTTTCACCCGCCGCCAGCGGGATGGCGCCCAGGAAGAGGGGAGCCCCAGGAGATGGGCCGAGACTCTCGAGACAATCGGGCAGGGATGCTGTAATAGCTTGGTTAGAATCCCCAGATGGCTGCGGCCTGCCCTCGGACGTTGTGCTCAAGGTGTGGACTCGGCGTCCCGGTTCAAGCTGAATGGCAATAAGCCAGGGCGTGAACATACTGTCAGCAACCTCTTGGCCCTCTGCTGCTGCGCGCCCGCCCAGCCACTCGCTCCCTGCCGAGTCCCGACCCCCGCCACGCTGCCCGCCGCTCCGCCCGCTTTTGCAGTTGAACCAAACCTGGGAAGCGAACAACGAGCTGGTGGACGGCGGCACGCTGCTTGATGCCGACATCGAGCTGCTCACTGACATTGGCGTCTCACGCACCGTGGCGCGCAAGATTGTGCAGCGAGTGCAGCAGCTGGCGGGCCCGGCCACCCAGGTGCGGCAGGGGGCTCGTTCAAGGCCTTGGAGTGGCGGCGCAGCCTGCCTCCTCTTGCAGCCGTCTGCGGGGCGGCCCACCTTGGACTGTGGCAGCCGCAGCTCATGTGGGAGCTGCCGCTGCATCCACTGTGCTGCGTTTCCCAATCGTTGCGCCGTCTGCAGGAGTTGGCGCCCACCACCCAGCAGCACCACCAGGCAGGCGACGAGGAGGAGGACGAGCAGATGGAAGAGGACCAGGGGGAGCAGGAGCGGCAGCAGCAGGCGCGAGGACCGCGGGAGCCTCCACGCCGCCCGCCAGCCACGCAGCCAACGCAGCTGACGGCCACGCAGGGCACCAGACACCCTCCAGAGGCGCCAGAAGGCAGCCGCGCGGCACGTGCGGCCGCTGCTGCGCGGCCCAGCCGTGCCACCCGTCGGGCGTCAGAAGCACCAGAGGCCAGCCAGGCCACGCAGGGCACACGTGCCACCCGGGCAGCCAGCAGGGGCACCTTCCGCACCGCGCGCACTGACCTGGCTACCCAGGCCACACAGTCCCCGCTGATCAAGCCAGATCCTGAGCAGGCGGAGGAGGAGGCGCTGGCATGGGAGGAGGAGCAGCAGGAGGAGCAGCAGCAGCAGCAGCGGCGCACCAGGCGCCGCCTGAGCGCGCGGCAGCAGAAGCAGGAGCCTCTGGAGGATGGGCGGGAGGAGGAGATGGAGGAGGCGCAGCAGGAGGAGGGCATGGAGACAGAGGCAGAGGAGGAGTCAGAGACCCAGGACGAGTCTGGCGGGGCAGCACCCCGCCGCCGCGGGCGCCACGTCTTGAAGGAGGACCCCGAGCAGCTGGATGGCGGCGGCGGCGCTGCCGGCGTGGCAGTGCAGGAGCACAGCCTGCCGCTGACTGGACGGCGCAGCGCCCGCACCGCCGGCCGCCAGCAGGACGAGCAGCAGCAGGAGCAGCAGCAGGAGGAGGCGGGGCCCAGCGGCAGCGGCCGCCCGCGCACCAGGCGGCAGCAGCAGCAGCAGGAGGAGGCGCAGCTGCGTGCCACGCAGCGCGAGCTGCGCGGCAGGACCATGCAGGAGCGGCAGCGCCGCCAGGAAGAGGAGCAGGAGTCTGAGGAGGAGGAGGAGGCGGTGAGGGGGGTGTTCGGGAGCCGCTTGCACAGCCAAAGCAGCTTGCTGTGTTCCGCAGCTCCCAAGTCGGCAGGGCCGCCTGCCCCAGCTATCCCCCGAGCCAGCCTGCATCCACTTTCCTTTGGTCCTTTTCCTGATTCGCACCTGTGCGAATTTGTGTCGGCTGGGCTGTGCTGCAGGGCGGCATCCAGCAGCAGGCTGATGCGGAGGATGAGGAGGACTGGGGCGAGCTGGCGGTTGAGGATCTGGGCCCAGAAGCCCGCAGGTTTGCTCCTGCTGGCTGGCCTGCCGCGCCAGCCTTGCACAAGCAGCTGCCAGGAGTGGATGGCCTGCCGCCGGGGGCATCCGCCCCTATGCCTGCTGTGCTCCGAGCAAGGCGCCTTCCTGCCTGGCCAGTTGCCTTCTGACTGTGGCCATTTGCGTTGTGGCGGCCCCTGCGTGTGTGCGCAGCGGGCAGTACGCCAAGGACTGGGAGCGGCGGGCCAAGTGGGGCATGCTGGAGATCTTCACATCCATGCCCGTGCAGAAGGTACCTGCACCACCTGGTACTGCCAGTATACTGCCAGTGTACTGCCGGCTGCTGTCTGTGTGTACTTGCCCGCCCTGGTGGCCGCCAGCAGCCGCTGCACACTTCATGACTCCCAAGCCACGTTGGCGACTTGCAAGGCTCAGCAGCCGTCCTGCCCCTGCGCTGCAGCTGCGGGAGCTGGTGGAGGGGCAGGAGGAGTGGTCTGAGCTGGCCGCCAACATCATGCGCGTCAGGAGGAAGGTGGAGGGCGAGAGGTGGGCCTGGCCGGGCCGGGGCGATGTGCGCCGGCATGGGCATCGCCTCATGCATCCGCCCGCCGCCTGCTGCCACGTGCCATGCCCCTGGCTTGTGCGCTTGCCCCGACTGCCCCGCCCGTCCTGCCGCTGCCGCCCTGCGCCCCCTGCAGCACTTGGGTGGAGCTGGAGAAGGCCAAGTCGATTGCGCCCAGGCTGGTCAACTTCATCATGACTGGAGACCCCGATGGGAAGGCCAACGACAGCGGTGGGAGCTGCTGCTGGCCGCCCCGCTCAATGGCACTGGTACTTGGCACGCGCCGGCAGCAAGCAGCCAAGCACACGCGTGCAGGCATTATCGCCGCTGCCTGGGCTTTACGCATGCCGCTGCGCCGACCCTCGCTCGCACCACAGCTGTCACCCAGCACGGATGGGCTGCGCACCTGACCCGCTCTCTCCCCTGCAGGGCCCCTGCACCAGCGGGCCATCAAGGAGCTGCTGAAGGACTACTGCGATGATGCGGTACGGGCATATGTGGAGGATGTGCTGAAGCCGCGGTACCAGGTGGGGCGGGGCGGCGATACCGGGCCGGGCATCGAGGTGTGAAGCCAGGTTGACTGGCTTTATGAAGGCACTGGAGCCGGGCGCCGTGCTGTGGCCTGCCGACGGGCGCTTTTTGTGGTGCTGCCCTGCCCGCGCCTGGTGCGCAGAACGTGCCGCGCAGCCAGGACCCGCACAAGCTCATGTGGAAGCTGTGGCACTACCCGCGCGGCCCCGCCAACGACGTGCTGGAGGTGGGCTGGGCGCCTGCCGCTCCTCGGTGCTTGCGGCGGCTGGTGTCATGCTCCCGGGCCAGACCCAGCCCGCCAGCGCCCGTCTCAGTCTGCCCCCCAACTCGGATGTGTTGTGGGGCATTGCGCGCAGACGCTGCTGGGCAGCCGGGAGCTGGAGTATGAGGCGATCCTCGGCGCCGACCTGGAGCCCAACGCCGCCACCGGCAACACCGCCTGGCCCAAGGTCTGGCAGGCCATCGAGGCTGGGAAGCTGACGCTTGTGAACCAGGTGCGGCCTGCGCCTGGCTGCCCGCCTGCCTGCCTGGTAGCAGCAGCAGTCTTCCGCCAGCTCAGCAGTTTAAAGGCGGCTGCGAGGCGCTGACCCGGTCCCTTGAAGCTGCATGCCCCCCACATCACATGCCTGGCCCGCCTGCGTGCAGGAGGAGGTGCTGCTGTGGCTCATCCACGTCAACGACCTGTCCACCCACCCCCGCGTCAGGGTGGGCCGCGCCGCGCCGCGCCGCGCCGCGCTGGGGCGTCCACCTCCCCGCTTGCCTCCAGGCCACCTGCTGTGCTCCCCGCGCCTGTGCCAGCCCGCCGCACTCCCCGCGTGCCTCCCAGGCCGACACCACAGATCATTGGTATCCCCACCGCTGCCCCACCACTCCACCGCCGCCACATCGCCGCAGGTGTCCGCCCGGCTGACGCGCCAGCCCGGCAACCGCAAGCTGCGCGTGTCCATCTACCAGATCTTCTCCACCTCCACGCTCTCCTCCTCCCTCATCTCCGGCACCTGGCAGCGCAAGAACGCGGACACTGAGGAGGATGAGCTCGTTGCGGTGGACCTGCGCTTCCTGCTGTCCATGCTGGACGGATTCGACGGCTCTCCCTTCATGGAGCAGATGGACAGGTTGGTGGGTGGCTGGGTGGGGGTCTGGTGGCGGTGGCGAGGTTGGTGGCACAGGGCTAGGTGGGGGCAGGGAGGGCGGGGGGCACCTGCAGCGGAGACAGAGCTGGCCTGCAGGAGGGAGAGAGCTGGCCTGGCGAGGGCTGAGGAGCGGTGGCAACCCCTGGCCGAGCCGGCGGCAGCAGCAAGTGCCTACTTGCCTGGCTGCCTGCCTGCTCTTTCCGACTGTAATGTTGTACTGTCCCTCGCCCTTGAACCCGGCGCCCTGCCCCTCCCCTGGGCCTGCCTGCAGGCTGACCCAGGAGTATGAGGCGACTGAGAACGAGGTGACGGCGCGGGGGGTGGAGGGGGAGCTCAGCGTGGATGCACCCATGAACCTGAAGCAGGTGCGCCGGGCAACGGCCCGCCTGCTCTGCATGCGCATGCCGTCCTGGCCCCGACGCACTCGCCCCTCTTGGCCCCTCTGGGCGCCAGGCAGCTTGCTCTCAGCTCTGCCCAAGCCACCTGCCTGCCTACCTGCCTACCTGCCTGCCCGCCTGTCTACATGCCCACCTGCCCGCCTGCCTGCCTGACTTATCGGCCTGCCCTGCCCTCCCCGCAGTTTGACAAGGTGATGGCGTGCGTGGAGGACGTTGACCGCGGCGAGCCGGCAGAGTTCAGGGAGGAGTGCTCAGACGCCTTCCTGCTCACGGTGGGGCTGCTGCCTGCCTGCCTGCCTGCCTGCCTGGCTGGCTGGCTGGCTGGTCTGCAGCGCTGTGCATCCGCACCGCCGAGCGGCAGCTTCCCAGCGTGCACGCACAAGGCAAGCCTGCGCGGCCGGCGGCCGCCTCCCCGACTCGTTCCCGGCCTGCTCCTGCCCCGCAGCTGCGCCCCTACCAGCGCCGCTCGCTGGCCCACATGCTGCGTGAGGAGCGGGCGCTGGGCGGCTCCTCCCGCAACCTCTGGGTCAAGCTCAACCTGCCGGAGCACCCGGGTGAGCGCCTCGGCAGTGGGGGGGGCCGGCGTCGCTCTGCCTGCCTTGCGGAGCCGGCGCTGCTGCGCAGCAGCCCCGGAGCGCTTGCCGCGTCACCTCTCTCCCCATGTGCCACAAACAACCGGCGTATCCCACCCCCGCCCCCGTATCCCACCTCCTGCCCTGCAGACGTGCAATGCTACGTGTCCCCCATCCTGCACCAGATCCGCTCCAGCACCTCCAGGATCGAGGCTGAGCAGTGGGTGAACGCCAACGGCGGCGCGGGCTGGATCGCGCTCGAGGTGCGTGTGGGTGGACTGCAGAGGGGCGGCTGCGGTTGCCCTGCCTGATGGCACCGATGCCGGCGCTCAGCGCTGACTCGCATGTGTCGTCTTGCCCTGGTAACTGCCTGGTGCAGCCTCCCGAGGCAAAGCAATCCGCGACTTCCAAACAGACCCGCCCACCAAGGTGGGCTCGTGTGCGGCGTTAGGGTGCAGCCGCCGCCTGGCCGCTGGGCTGGCCAGTGCTGGGCTGCCGCATCCTTCGCTGCCTCGCTGCCGGCGTGGCGCCGCCGCAGACAGCCGGCCGCTGCCCTGCTTTTTGTGTATTACTGCAGGTGTTCCTGCTGACGTACCGGGCGGGCGGGGCGGGCATCACGCTGACGGCCGGCACACACATCATCCTGTGCGAGCCCACCCTGAACCCCAGCTTTGAGAAGCAAGCCATCGGCCGCTCCCACCGCATGGGGCAGACTAAGCCGCTGACGGTGACGCGCATGCTCATGCTGGGTGAGCGGGCGGGCGGGCGGGCGGCCTGCCTGGGGTGGCAAGGGAGGCGGGATCTCGCTGGGGAGGGGCCCCGCAGCTTGCTGCGGAGCCAGCTTAGCGTGCTTTTACACACCCGGCCAGCCGCGGCCTGCCAGCTGCTGCACGCCCCGGCCCGCCGCCCCTCCCACCCCCACCCGTAGTGTACAACTTTTGGGTACAATTTTTGGGTACAACTTTGGGGTACAGCTTGTGTGTGTGGCAACTTAGAACATGTGTGTGTTGCAGGCACGATAGAGGAGAAGGTGGCTGAGTTTGTGGAGCGGCAGAAGTCTGAGGTGGAGGGGGACCCGCAGCAGCAGCTGGAGAGCACCATGATGGAGACCAACCAGGGTGGGGGCTGGGGGTTGGGTTTAGGGTGGGAGCAAGGGAAAGCGTGGGGCACAGGGCGGGGCAGCTGGGCACCCTGCCCCGCACCGGTGGCGCCTGGCTGCTGTCGGCGCTTGTTGGCGAAGGGCTGCCAACCCAGCTGGCGCAGGGTCACGTACCTCCTGCTGTGTGCGTGTGTGCAGCCGCCAACGACGAAACCAACAAGCTGACCATTGAGGAGCTGAGGGACTTCATCTACAAGATCCCGGATGAGGAGGACGAGTAGCAGGCCTGCCTAGGACAACCAGCCCCCGGGGGTTGCTGCAGTGCTCATTGCACCACTGCCCTCGAGGGCCAACCGACACAATTGACAGATAGCCTTCCGTGTATAGGTGTACCCTTCTTTGCTGAGCTTGCTCCAGCTGAACCGCGCCAGGACACCAACAGACGTGCCAGCCAGCAACATGCCAGCCAGCAGTAAAGCTGTGCCACTGAATGGTGGCACCCGCACCCTACACATGTAGTCCCCCTGCACTCCTTGTACCCATTAAACTCAGCCGGCACCACCTTGTAATGTGCTTGACAACCAGCATGGCGGCCGGCTGTACGTACTCAGGTGCTCATAGGCGCCGCTTCCGCCGCCACATCAGCCAGCCCATTTTTTCATTCCAGCCTCTCGCAGCGCCCCCCGAGCTAGTCCAGCAGTATGGCCACCACTCGTGCCAAGTCGAAAGCTGGGCGGCAGGGCTCAGAGCAGGCCCGCGGGCATGCGCCCAGCAGCAGGGGCAAGTCCAAGGCTGTGCCCAAGGCAGCCCCCACCAAGTCCAAGGCAGCAAAGCAAGCTCCAGCCAAGAAGCGCGGCAAGCACGCCACGGCGGCTGGGGCGCCCGGCACCTCGGCTGCCGCAGCCGCCGCCGCCGCCCCTGCAGCAGGCGGAGGCAGCCAGCTGGTGGTGACCAACCGGGCGCCGGTGCTTACGCTGTGGGCGGCGGTGGTGGCGCAGCGCGAGGGGTACAGCTGGGAGGAGGGGCTGACGTTTGGGCGGTACATCGCGGGCGTACTGGCGCACAGCAAGGGCAAGGCGTTGGGCCTGTATGAGGATCGCGAGGTCAGCGAGGAGGAGCGGGAGGACAGGAGGCGGCGGGAGGAGGAGGCGGGGGTGGAGCGCGTGCGGGTGTTTGGCATGAAGTGCCCCGCCCTGCTGGTGAGCGGGAGGGCTGGCCTGCGGGGGGGCTGCCTCAACAGCATGGCAACCACGGTGCTGCCTGGTAGCGGTAGCGTTCTGGCTGAGAAGGAGAGGCATTTGTTGGCAATGCCAGTATGCATGCATGCATCCGAGCCTCCCGGCCACCCTGGTCCCTGGCTCGCACAGGTGGACGGCCAGCGGCGCGCGGTGCACGAAAGCCAGGCGATCGAGCCGTCCAGCGTACAGGCCAGCCTGCGACGCTCTCTGGGCGTCCGCTTCCAAGACACAAAGGTGTGGGCCGCGGCTGCACCGGTCCGCTGCCCTGCCACGCCAGCGTTCAACAACGACCATCGGGACGGAAAGCAGGATGCACCTCAAGCCATGGGTGGCCAAACCCCCGCGCCGTGCTGCTGCCTGGCCTGCCCGCCGCGCCGCCAATGTGCATCGCAGGCTGCGATGGAGGAGCTGGCTGGCGCCATCCCCGCCGCCCGCATCCCGCGCGTGGCCTACAAGCTGTACGAGCAGTTCAGGCCGGAGTGGAAAGGGTGGGGCGTGAAGAGCCAGCTGGATCTGCAAACCATCCGGGGCCTGGCGGCCACGTGGCAGGAGGAGGCCTAGGCTAGGGACGGCGCTGCTGGAGCAGCAGCCGCATCAACGAGCACCTGCCTGCCTGCTACTGGCGCCTGCCCCTGCTTCTGTGCATGCTCGATGCTCATGGCTGGGACAAGACTGCATGCACGTTTCTGTGCTCAGTGTGTGCCTGTGTGCCTGTGTGCCTGTGTGCCTGTGTGGCTGTAGCTTGGGGGCAGCTGGCGCGTCAGCCTTTCACAGGGCCTCCAGGGTGCTGGAGGAGGCCCATGCCAGGCAGCTGTGCAGGTAAAGCGTGAACAGGCTGCCGAGCAGGGAGGGCGGGGGAGACAGGGGGACCTCCGGAGGGTCCTCGCGCCCCGGCGCCCCAGCTGCCGCCGCGAGCGCAAAGCTCCTGCGGGCCCTCCGCTCCAGGGCCTGCAGCGCCGCCAGCGGCAGCGCCCAGCCGCACACCAGTGACATCCAGAAGTGCACCACCAGGCACTGCTGCATGGGCTGGGCGGCCCGCCACGCCAGCTGCAGCCCCGCGGGCGCCGGGATCATGGGGCTGCTGCATTCGGGGCACAGAGTGGGGGAGGGGGCAGGAGGGGCGGCCTCAGTGGCAGGCGGGGCACCAGGCAGGGAGCCTGAGCTCCACCCCGTGGCCAGTTCCCACCACCAGCAGGCAGCAGCATGGGAGTGCCAGGGCGCCGCTAGCAGGCTGCGCGTGTGGCGGCGGCAGCGGGCGCGCCACTCACTGCGCCAACGCCAGCGCGTCGTGCAGCCTGGCCAGTGGCGCCTCCACGCCGGGCGCCTCCAGCATGCGCCCGCACATGGCGCGGGCGGTGGCGAGCGGCGGCAGAGCCAGCAGGGGCAGCACCACGCGCAGCGTGGACAGCATGAGGCGGCCGTAGAGCAGGTAGATGGCGGTGTAGAAGACGGCGCTGCACAGGCTCATGATGCCCAGCAGGGCCAGCGGGCTGGAGTGGTGGCGGTCAAACAGGGGGTTGTGGTGGGACAGGGCCAGGGTGATGGCCGCCCACTGCATGTGCAGGCACCCCGCCGTGGTGAGCAGCTCTCGGTGCCGCACGTAGGTGCGCCGCCGCCGCGCGATGAGCACCGCCATGCCGCAGGACAGCAGGCTGTGGCTGGCGCTGACGGCGGCCATCACCGCACCAAAGCAGCAGACACGCTGGCGGCGTCATGCAGCGGGGGCCAGTGCGGCGAGCTGCAGGGCTGTGCCATTCCACAGGCTACCCACACAACGGCGACGGTTCCAGCAGTGCGCGGTTCAATGGCGGCGTGTGCTTGCCTGGCTGGTGCTCGCGCACCAAGACCTTGTAAGACAGCATCAGCATCAGCACCGCCACACAACGCCAGGCCAGAAGGTCGGAGTCGGCGCCTGCCTCGTTCAAGGCCCTGCACGCAAGGTGCGGCATGCCAGACGGTGCCAAGGCGGTGGCGCGGCGGCAGGAGGGAGGTCAGCCTGCCGGCCGCACAACAGCGCGGCCTCGCAGCGGGACACATGAATCGGCTTGTGGGATCTCGTAGAAGAAGGTTTGGAGCCTGAGCCACCAGAGTAGGGCTAACCTGCGGTATGCATCGTCTCGCCAGCCGCGCCACTGTTTAAGTACTGCGGAAAGCATGTTTGGCAAGTCACAAACATCAGCGGACATCAGGATGCCGAGTTTTTGCTCGGCGGTACACCTGTGCGCCTCTACGCCTCTGCGTACGTCCGAATGTGTACAAGAGTGCATTGCAGCCTGATCGGGGCAACAGTGCAGGGACATCAATCAATAACTGATTGGAATGCACGCTGAGGACGAGGGGCATGTGGCGGCGTGCCACTTACACCGCCACTCACGCCGCCGCAGCCAGAATCAGCGCTTACAGTTCTACGCACAAGTCACCAGGCGGCCTCCAGGGCGTTTGCGCCAGCCCAGGCCAAGCAGCTGCAGAGGTAGAGCATGACGGGGCCAGCCAGCGGCAGCGGGTACAGAGGCAACGGGTGTGCCGGCGGCGGTCGCCGCTCTCGTGGCTTGCCGCAGTCGTCCCCATCCTGCTGCTCCTCTTCCCGCTCCTCCTGCCAGTCGGGCTGCTCCTCCACCCACCGCTCCATGGCCCTCCGCTCCAGGCAGCCCAGCACCACCAGTGGCAGCGCCCAGCCGCACACCAGCGACATCCAGGCGTGCACGACCAGGCACTGCTGCCTGGGCTGGGCGGCCCGCCACGCGTGCAGCAGCGTGTTGGGCGCTGGCATGATTGCGCTGCTGCACTCGGCGGAAGGGGGCGAGAAGGGGTGGAGGACCTGAGAACCAGGCTGCAGCCGGCAAGGCAACACCACCTCGGCACGCCTGTCACCCAGCTCGCTGCCAGCAATGCCCGCGCAGCAGCGGGCGCGCCACTCACTGCGCCAGCGCCAGCGCGTCGTGCAGCCTGGCCAGTGGCGCCTTCACGCCGGGCGCCTCCAGCACGCGCCCGCACATGCCATCGACGGCGAGGAGCGAGGGGAGGGTGAGCAGCGGCAGCGCCAGCTGGTTGACGCCAAAGGCCAGCCTGCCGCGAAGGGCGTAGATGGAGACCCAGAAGACAGTGCTGTGCAGGGTCATGAGCACCAGCAGCGCCAGCTCGCTGCCCCTGTGCTGCGCCAGCACGTTGCTGCCACCGTGCACGGCCAGGAGCTGCGAGGTGCACTGCAGCTGGAGGCAGGCCGCCACTCCGATCAGCTCCCGGTGCCGCACATACACGCCCCTGCCCCACCGCTTGTGCGCGATGAGCGCCGCCAGGCCGAGTGTCACCAGCACTTGGCTGCCACCGATTAGCGTCGGCTCTGAATGGGGGAAGAGAGGGGGGGGGGGGGCAGGGGACTGTCAGTGGCCAATTGTGCGAGGTCTCACTTTACCCTGCACACCATGCATGGGGGGAGAGAGGAGGGCCAGCGGGCAGCATAATGCTGCTATGTGTGCCATGGGCTCGCGCCGACGCACAACCTGCCGCCAAGCGCAAGGGGGAAGTGCAGTTCGGGCATGCATGATGCCGAGCAGTGTTTCTGTCCGCCTGCGCTTGCCTGTCAGCCCCTCGAGGCTGGCTTTGAGGATGACCAGGACCAGCTGCACAGCCCCCGAAAACTGCCAGGCTTGTCTGTCGGAGTCGGCCGCCGCCGCATTCGCATGGCGTCTGCACGGCGTCCAGGACCCAGGCGGCGGGGCGGCATGTGCGGGTTGGCGTCAAACCGCGTGCCACATGTCAAATCGCAGCACCACGTCGATGGTTTACGGGTTTCAGAGAGGTTTGCAGGCAGGGGCGGGCTCCCGACAGTGGAGCCAGCCGTGCCTGCTCAGGGACCGCCTGCTCAGGGACCGCCAACCCCACGTCTTCACCATTGGGCCACAAGTAGCAGGCGGGGTGCAGCACTATAGGGACGAAGCTTTGCGAGGAGCAAGTTCCCCCAGCTAGGAAGTCGTCTGAGGTCCGGCACCCTTGTTCGCCGACTGGTGTGCAAGGAGCAGAAGTGGCAGCAAAGCGAGACCGACAGGAGATGCTGAAATGGGAGTGTGCCCGTTCATGGCATGTACCGCCTGCATCGGGATGCCGCGGGCGGCACCGTGACGCCCGGGGCTGCCATCCACAGGCAGAGCTTATCATCACATCACATCACATCCCGCATCCTTGGGGCGGCTCAAGGTCATCATGGTACAGTGCGCACAAGTTTGCACAAGCCGCAGCGCTGGAAGCTCATCGGCTGAGACGGGTTTGGAAAACGGCCCACTTGGTGGGGCCTGGCATGGTGCTTGATGAGAGTGCTAGGGCTGCAGAGTCCATGCAATGCAGCTCATTGGGCTCCATAAACTCGGCACTGCATAATGAGAGAATGCAGACAGTGGCACATGCATCTATCAATGCCCGTCAGGCGGCCAGGCGGCCAGCGGCAGGGCAGCGGGATATGTTTGCACATCCGCATCAAGCGCCGCAGGCCCTCTCAATGTCAATTCATTTTGCGCTCTGCGGTTTCGAGCAATAACAGGCACGCCGCTGGCATTGCGAAAGGCTTCGCATGGGCAGCCTCCTTGTGCCCTGCACCTGCCATGGCTCATTCACCTGGAGCCGTAGCAGCATTGCTGTACAGATGCAGCCGCGCCGCCGGCATCGAGCGGGCCATCGGCATGTGCCATCCACCGCCGCCGCTGGCGCTGCCTCACCGAGGCCAGGGGCAGAGGTTATGCAGCCGCAGGAGGCAGCACAGCTGGCACACGACATTGCCAGCCTGAACCTGGTGAGTTTGCTGCAACCAGCCGAGTCCATTTTCGAATGTGCTGCCTTGCATGTGTATCACCGTTCCATGCCGCACCGCGCCGCGTGTGCAGGAGGACTTGCGGGCCATGCTGCGGTGCCGGCGGCTGGGAAGTGAGGGCAGCAGGGCGGAGCTGGCGCAGCGGCTGGGCGCCTTTCTGGCCAGCCCCGCCAGCTTCCCAGAGGCCGACTGCAGGCCTCGCCCTGTGGTGCAGCTGGGCGGCCGCCTGTTTGCCGGCAGGCAGCAGCTGCGGTCGCACTGCCAGCTGCTGCTGGCGCTGCTGGAGGGGGAGGAGGTGGAGGCGGGGCACCCAGACTGGGCCTTCCTGTCGGCCCTGCTGCAGCAGCACCCACGGTATGCGGACAAGGTAGGGGCGGCAATGTGCGTTTGTGTGTGTGGGTGGCTTCATGTGGTGTGTGGTGTGGGGGTGGAGCGCTCCACCCACCCACCTCTCCCGCCACACCGACTTAACCCTAGTGCAGCATGTGCCCCACCGGCTGCCCGCCGCCCCACCGCCCGCAGGTCGCTCCGCCCGTGCAGCGCTTCCGCGTGCGTGCGGTGCAGCAGCAGGACATGGCCACGTACCGCATGTTTGAGTTCCGGGACCAGCGCGGCCAGGAGTGGGCCGACTTCTCGTACCGCAAGTGCATCGGGTGAGGTGGGCGCCAGGGGCGCCCAGGGAGGCGCGCCGCCTCGCAGGCACGCTACTGGGGTGGGCGCATGCCTGCTAGCACCGCGGGCAGGCAGCAGCAGCGCGTGCGCGCCGTTCCCGCCACTCGGCTGCTGTGGGAGAGGCCTCTGCTTCTGTAGCGTTGAGTTTTTGCCCACCCCAGCCTGCGCCGCCGCTGCCGCTGCTGTTCCCTCCATCCCAGGCTCGACCCGGGGCACAACGCCGACCTCACCTTTCGCGACGCCATGCGGTGGGCTGTGGGTGACCAGCTGGCAGCATACAGGGCGGCATCGGCGCAGGTCGGCAGCGGTGGGCGGCCGGTGTGGCGGTGCGACTGCTGCGGGCGCCGGGTGGCGCACGGCGGCAAGCTGCGGCTGGAGCACGCGGAGCCTTCTTTCCACCAGGTGGGCTGCTGCCGGGGTCACCAGAGGCTGGGGCTACTAGTGTAGTACCAAAGGCTCCAGGCTGGGTTGAGGGTCTGTGTGCAGAACTGGGCGGCAGCGGTTTCGTGCCACGCAGCAGCGGCAGGAGGGACGTTCCACTGTGCGGTGCTGCTGCCTCATGCCCGCATCAACGGTGTGCTGTGCTGGCCCCGCCTCCCCCCTGGCCTGCGCCGTGGTACCGCAGCTGGTCAGGAGCTTCTGCGACGGCACCAGCCTGCGGCCGCCGCCGGTGGACGGCAGGGTGCCGGGCACCAACCGCGGGTGCTTCACAGACGAGGCCTGGGTGGCGGCGTGGCGGGCATTCCACCGGCGCAACGCGCGGCGCTTGGAGCTGCGCTGCATCCCGTGTGCCCAGCAGCTGGCGCAGCAAGACGGCGGGGGGCAGGGGTGGCGCGCCGCCAGCGCCAGCGCCAGCTGAGGCCGTCAGTGCAGAGCTGTCTGGACTACGTCCTCCATCAGTGTATTGTTTCATTTTTTTGACCGAGAGCAGCCACAGGGGCTTGCTCCCTGTAATCGAATTGCAGAGTGGGTGGCTAGTGTAACTGGACCATCACAGGCAGGTTCACTGCGCCAGGCGATTGGCTGCCGCCTCCACCGCCGCGCCATTTGCCGCCGCTCCTGCACCTGTCGTATGCCCCGCAGCCTTGAAGGCGATGGCGGTCTGCTCGTGCTGCGTGTTGGCCAGCAGCCACAGCAGCTGCACCCGCTCAAACTCGGGCGCCAGCTGCTCCGCCAGCTTCTGCCGCCACTCCTCGGTCCGTCCCTGGCCCCGGCCTGTGCACCCGGCGTGGCAGACGGCAAGTGTGAGTCGCGCACATCCATCCATCCATCCACCCATCCATCCATCCATGCATCCCATGCACAGTGTGTTGTGCCATTGCCAGCAGGCCACCCCGCACCAAAGAACTTGAGCGTCATGATGACGGCAGCCCCGGGGTGCAGCAGCGGCAGCAGCGGGCGCAGCATGTCCACAATCTGGGACGGGTGCCTGTTCACGTCTGCACCGCGGGCAGGAGGCGGGGGCGCGGGTCCACAGCGGCGTAGGGGCGGCGGTGGCGAGGGGCAGGGCGGCGGGCAGCTCCTGCTGCATGCCAGCCAGCCATGTCGGCAGCGAGGCTGCCCGACAGGCTTGGAAACGCAACAATGTGCGCTGCACGCACGCCCGTCCTGTCACACACATGCACACCTGAGACGATCAGGTCCACACCCGCCTCCCCAACCATGCCGACAATCTGCTGCACAGCCGCCTCTGCCTTGCAGGCCAGGTGGGTGACCACGCCAGGCACCAGCGCCCGCTCATCCATGGGCGCCGGGTCCACAGCCAGCACCAGCCGCGCCCGCTGCGCCAGCACGTGCGTCCACCCGCCTGCAGGCAAGGCGGCGCGCCCCAGAAGGTGGGAGAAGAGAGGCGGCTGGATGGTCAGAGCCTGCGCGTGTGCACGGCGGAGGGAGCCGCCATGCCGCCACGACATGCCGGCGACATACACAAGTGACAGCGTTGGTGGCGGCAGCGGCGCGGGGGGCTCACCCGGCGCGGCCCCAAGGTCCACCGCCACGCCGCTGGTCAGCTGCAGGCCTGCCGCCGTCAGCGCCTCGGACAGCTTGCCTGCCCGGGTGGCACAGGGGGATGGGGGCAGGGCAGGGGAGGGGCGAGGTGTGCAAGCGGGAGGACCCAAATGCCAGGAGGGAGGACAGATACCGAAACACCGCTCCCGCAGCTGCCCTCTTGCCCAGGGCCATGGACCGTCTCCACCCACAGCACCCCCACCCCCCGCCCACTGGCCACCCACCCACCTGCTGCCTTGCACAGCTGGTCAGGCACCCGCTTGTCTCGCACGGGCTGGTAGTTGTACAGATGATCCGCACGCTGCAGGCTCCAGAGGAACCGCTCCTCCTGCTGCTGCTGCCCCTGCTGCTTTGCTGGCTCTGCCTGCTGCTGCTCCTCTGCAGGCATGCGCACAATGTGCAGCACCCAGGCAGGGTCGACAGGCTGCAGGTTGAAGCTGGGAGGCAGCTGGTCACCCAGCCAGCCCTCCAGAGAGCGAGGGAAGCACTGCAGGCGCAGGCGGCCACCGTCGGGGGCCGGCCCTGCCGCCACCAGCTGCTCCACCAGCTGCTGCCGGGACAGCGCCACGCCGGGGCTGCTCTGCAGGAAGTACACCCTCACAACCGCCGCGTTGGCGGAGCTGTTGCTGTAAATCCAGGCATTGAGCTCGGCGGGGGTCAGCCGCGTGCGCTTGTAGTGCACTAGGCAGGGGCCATCTCGGTCGGTGCAGGGTCCCACCTCATGTACCTGCAACAACAAGGAGCGGCGGCGCAGGCGTGGGCGGCGGCGGCGGCATGCATGCTTGGCGCGTCATCGAAAAAAGGACAAGTTGCAATCATCGCTGCTCGCATACCTCTTCGGCAAAGCCTGCTGGATAGAAACAGTGCGTCTGCGGCGATTGGGCATAGCGCCAAAGTCGATGCGCAAGGCTTTGGTTTGTGCTCTGCAGCACATAATCCATTAGGGGAGAGGAACACAAGCAGCAGATGGTTGACTGATTCCAGCCCATGCCGGACAGACCGCCTTAGCCGCCACGACGTGCCGCGTCACAGCGCCGCTCCCCCCCTTCATCTGCCTGTGTAATGCTGTCCAGAGAGCTATTTGACACATGAGTGGGAATCACAGATGGGTAATCAGCAGACGATTGAGTAGCGAGCGGGACAAGTGAGCAGCAGAGGGCAGCAAGAAGGGAGCAATGGCAGGAAGCAGCGGGAGCGGGAAACAATGTGGGAGACGCTTGCAAGTTGATGCCGGTAGAGACCCATCCGCCGCACCAGGGGCCGCGGCAGCAGAGGCCCCAGGTTCTGCAGTCGCACGGGGGGGGGCAGGATGGAGGCCAGAAGGTTGCTGCTGCAGCAGCAGAGGCGGAGCGGGAGGCAGCCACGGAAGTGCTGGCACGTCCAACCCAGCCGCCGCGCGCACTACTGCACTATTCCTCCTTCTCACCGGTCATATCTTGCAGTACACCCCATCCATGCGGTACCCTCGCCGCCGCGCCTTCTCAGCCCACTCGCGGCCCTTCACGGGGTCGGCCTGGCAGCCATACCCCTCTATCAGCATCTGCCCCAGGAGCGCCTGCGCCTTCTGCAGCACGGCAGGCAGCGGCGGCAGCTCCGGGCAGGGTCAGCTGGCAGCACCGCTGGCGCAGCACTGCAAAAACACAGGCTGCAGGGACCAGCGTCGAGAATGCGGTCAGGCACGGGGCCGGCCGGCCAGAGGAGCGCGCTGCCTTCCTCGCTGCATGCAGGCCTGTTTGCAGGCGGCTTCTGCTGCTGCAGCGCCGCGCCACGCACCACGTCCCCGCGCAGCGCCTCCTTCTCCGTTTCGAGGTACCACCGCCGCAGCGCGTCGGCGACCACCGCCCCCAGCTTGGCTGGCTGCTGCAGCCGACCGTCAGCCAGCATAACTACGACGGGCTGCGGGGCGCCGGCTGCGGTACTGGGCACATCGTTACTGGTGCCTGCAGGGGCGGAGCACAGCGTGGGGCGGGTCGCTTGAGACAGCAGGCGGGAGTGGTGGCCTCGCTGCAGCAGCAGCTTGGCCTCAAGCCCTTGAAACAGCGAGTTGGCGGGAGGCAGCGCGCCCACCACCGGCGCTACACCAACGTCGAGCCATGAGGCCTCCCCGCGCGGCAATCAGTGCCACACCCCACCTTGGCCAGCCATGTGGCCTACGGCACGGCGCTTGACGGCCGTGCGGAGCCTTCTGCGTGCCGAGCAGATGGCACCGGGCAAGGAGGAGCGCAGAACACTCCGCGTTGCGCTTGCCGGGAGACAGCCCACGACTTGCATGCGCCACCGGCAGTGCCGTGCGCAACGCTGTAGCGGGGAGCGACAAAGAGGAAGTGCCTGAAGGGAGAAGCGCTGGGAGCGCAATAGCAGTGGGTTGCTCAGCTCCTGCAGCGCTGAAAAGTGGTGTGGGCAGGCGCGCTGAGCTTGGTTGTCGCCTGCTGCGTGCTGTGCCAATGCCACTTACTGCTGCAGGCCCGCTCAACCACCCCCCACATTGGCAACATTTGGGCAGAGAGGGATAGCCTGATCGGCATTGGATGGTGGCGTAATCGCGACGGCATTCACGCCCTGCACCAACCATTCAAAGGGTGCCCACACTCCTGTGCTCTTGCGTCGCGGTTTTATGCCCCTGCTGCCGTCCGTGGGTGTCGTGGGAGCCAGCAGCCGCCTGATTGTTGCCCGCCGACTGCTGGCCACCTCGTGGCAGGCACCCGCCGCCACCGCCGCCGCCAACTCCACTTGGAGCACCACCATGGGGCAGAAATCGATCGATTCCTTCTTGATCAAGAAGCCAGACGGCACCAGTAGGGGTAAAGTCATGGCCTCAACAGCAGCAGGCGGCCCCGGCGACGGCGCAGCTGCTGCGACCGGCGAGCCGCAGGCGGTGGTGGCAGCAGCCGGAGCAGGCGCCGGTGTGGCACCAGCAGCGGCAGAGCAGCCCGCAGATGTGCACCAGGCGCAGGCCATCGAGCAGCAGCACATGCGGGCGCATGCCAACCGAAACGCGGCGCTTGCAAAGCAGGTAGGCCAAGCAGGCACGCGCGAGCTCCTCGCTGCCGCCACCGCCTGGCGTGGCTTGCCTGGCCCCACCATTGCCTGCACCCCCCACGAAAGCGCCCGCCGCTTCCGACCCTCTGCTGCTTCTGTACTTTCTGACGCCCACAGGTTGTGCTGAAGGCCGAGGCGGTGGGCGGGTTGCCGCGGCTGGGGGAGCTGCTGGTGGAGGACAGCTGGCGCCACCTGCTGTCCTCTGAGCTGGACAAGCCCTACTTTGCTGACCTGGAGGCATTCGTGCGCTCAGAGTGGGCCGGCAGCCAGATGGTCTTCCCGCCAAAGGACTGCGTGTTCAGGTGCGGGCGGGCGCCGCACCCGCCCCGCTGCGCGCGGTACCACGCCCGAGGTCGGACCCACAATGCCTGTTTGGCACGTGGTTGCCATCTGCTGTGCCGACAGCGGTGGCGTGCTGCCTGCGCGCCTGCTCCACCCGCGCGCGCTGTGCCGTGCAGGGCGCTGAACAGCTGCCCTGTGGACAAGGTGCGGGTGGTGATTCTGGGGCAGGACCCGTACCACGACCTGGGCCAGGCCATGGGGCTGTCCTTCTCTGTTCCGCACGGCCGCGCTGTGCCCAGCAGCCTGCGCAATATGTACAAGGAGCTGAGGGAGGACCTGGGCTGCGAGGGCGGGCGGGGCGCGGGTGGGCGGCATGCGTGGGTGGATGGGCGGCTGCTGGTGGTTGCGGGCCGCTGGCATGCAGCCAGTCCTCGAGTGCTGTGCCGGCCTGTGGATGTGCTGTTGATCGCGAGGTCCACTGGGTGCGCCCGGCAGCCCCCAGCAGGTGTGGCCCACGAGCGCTGCCGCCTGCCCGCCCATGCTGCTGCAGTGCCCAAGCACGGCAACCTGGAGAAGTGGGCGCATCAGGGCGTGCTGCTGCTGAACGCCGGTGAGTGCACCCGCCTGAGCCAGCCCACCAGCCCCAGCTACACTCCTTGGCAGCCATGCAGCACGGTTGCAGAAGGGGTGTACGCGCTCCCCTCCCATGTCTCCGCCCGTAGTTGACCGTATGCCTGGCTGCCCAGCATCCCAGACCTTCAACTCGCCTCCTTCCTTCCTACCGCCCCGCAGTGCTCACCGTGCGTGCGCATAGCGCCGCCTCCCACGCCAAGAAGGGGTGGGAGAAGTTCACTGACGCCGCCATCTCGCGCCTGTCCAAGCAGCGCAGCGGCGTGGTCTTTCTGCTGTGGGGGCGCTATGCGCAGGTGCGGGGAGCAGGCCAGGGATGCTCTTGTGCTGTCAGGCTGCTGCACTGAGCAGCTTGCTGCCACTGGCTGCCCAAGCCTGCCGGTCAGCCAACTGCCCCTCCTCTGCCCGCTCCCAGGACAAGGGCAAGGTGATTGACAAGAGCAAGCACCACGTGTTGACGGCGGCGCACCCCAGCGGGCTCAGCGCCAACCGCGGCTTCTTCGGCTGCCGCCACTTCTCGCAGACCAACCGCCTGCTGGAGAAGGACGGGCAGCTGCCGATCGACTGGTGCATCGAGTGAGGCATGGCGCCTGGATGGGCTGGGTGCCTGTTGGGAGCCCTTGTGGTTTCATCCTGAAGCCCACACAGTTGCCCTGCTTTCTAGGGTGAACTCTACAAGCTACTGCCTTTGCCTGACTGCCGCAAAAGTGGTTGTAATCCGCAACTGGCGGCAGTCAACTGGCGGCGCAGGCCGCAGGCTCAACAGCAGTCCATAGTTCGACTTTCCTGCTGCCATGTGCGAGGCCCTGCTAATAACAAGGCATCTGAGTGGGCCAGGGGATCGGAAAGCGCCCTGCCTGGGGCCACCGCAGTACAACTGTGTGTACGGCTGTGCCTTCGAGCTCGCGCAATGACCCAATTTCGCTCCCTTTCGCGTAGGCCTCCTGTGGCGACCTCCCTTATTCAAGCAGTAGTAACTTGGGCATTGATAGAGACCTGGCATGGACGGCTGCGGGTGGGCTGCCACCAGCTCTAGGGCCTCCACAGGGCTTGCAGCTCACAGCACCACAGGCAGCCGCCGGGCCTTCTCTCGCTCCCTGTCCAGCAAGCCTGCCAAGGTGAGGAGGGCGCAGTGCTGCAGCAAAAACATGGGCGGCGGCACAGCTGCAAGGGGGCCAGCTTTTGATCGCCCCCGCACGTCGATGCGTGCAGGGCTTCCCGACCTACCTGGGCCTGCGCGGGCAGCATGCGGCAGCCCCAGCAGCAGATGGCGTGGCGGCCATGAAGGCAGCGGCAGCGCCTGCCGCCGCTTCAGTTGCAGTGGAGAAGCTGCAGGTGAGCGCTGGACACCCCCCGGCCTGCGCATTGGCCCCAAGAGCCCTCCACTTGCCCTGCCCTACTACCCACGTCCCGGCCTCGGGCGGGCCTGGCGGGCCAGCAGTGGGCCTGCCTGCATCCAGGCGGTGCCTGGCTCGAGATTGGGGGGCCCAACTGCTGCCCGCAACGGCGCGGCGGCGCGGCGCCCTGGTGTGCGGCTCTGGCCTGCCTATCAGGTGCACCGCACCGGTGGTTCACCTGCCTCGATCCGTATCCTGCTGCCCTGAGTGCAGACCGCCTCGTCCCCGGTCAACCTGCACGAGGTGGCGGATGCGGAGCAGCTCCTGGAAGAGCTGGACGCCTGCGGCGTGAGTGGCGCCGCCCCGGTCCATGACGCGCGGCGGCGCGTGGGGATACCTCGAGAAAACCGCCTGTGCTGCACATTTGGGCGTTGATCCCATGCCTGCCGGTGTTGTCTGGGTGCTGCAGGTGGGCCTGATTGCCAGCCTGAAGAACGAGTACAAGCATGACATCGTGGAGAAGGTGAGGGCGCACCCGGGGAACACCTAGCCGCCGGCCTTCAGCCCAGGCTGCAGGTGTTTGTTTAGGTGTGGCCCACCACGGCCAGCCTGACCGCGACCTGAGCCCGGCTGCCCTGCCCTCGCAGGCGCTGGTGGCGCTGGGGTGCATGGAGCACCGCGGCGCCTGCTCCGCCGACGACGTGTCTGGCGACGGCGCGGGGCTGATGACCAAGCTGCCCTGGGAGCTGTTCAAGGCGGAGATGCCGCAGCTGAAGGAGGAGACCACCGGGTGCGGGCAGCCTGCCGCGCAGCCAGCGGCTCCGTGGATGGCGGCGCAGCCTGCGGCATACAGCCCGCCCTGCCTGTGCACGCCGCGGGCCGGCAGCTGCTGTCGCTGCGGCTGCTGCGCATGTAGCGGTGCCCTGGTCTGCTGCTCATGCCTGCTGGCCCCCCCCTCCTCCCTCCTGCCTGTGCCTGCAGCGTGGGCATGATGTTCATCCCCAACGACGACGCCCTGGAGGCCAGGTGCAAGGAGATTTTTGAGAAGGTGGCCAAGGACGAGAACTTCAAGGTGGGGCGCCGGGGGCCTCGCCAGGCTGGCACGCACACACCGGACAGCTCACAGCAGGCAGAGCTGGCGCAAGAAGGCAGGGACACCTGCGACGCAGCTCTGCTGCGGCGGCGTGGCGGCTGCCGACACGGAACGCTGGCTGCGCTGCGCATGCTGACGCCGCGCCCCCGCTCTGGGCCGCTCTGCCCTGCAGGTGGTGGCCTGGCGCGAGGTGCCCGTGGACGTGTCGGCGGTAGGCCCAATCGCCCTCAAGACCATGCCCCGCATGCGCCAGGTCTTCATCGAGTCGCAGGCGGGGCTGACGGGCGACGAGCTGGAGCGGGAGCTGTTCATCGTGCGGAAGCTCATGGAGAAGGAGAAGGTGGGGCGGGGCGGGGGCCGGGCCGGGCTGAGGTGGGCTGGAGGGCATGTGTTGTGCGTGCGTATGTGGAAATGTGCGGTGCAACGCGACGGACGGCGCGCAGCCGGCGCGCAGCATGGGCAGCGCGTGGGCCGCGCCACGGCCGGCGCTGCCCGCCTCTGTGGTCTCCGCCCTGCCTTCGGGGGGTAACCTCCTGCTGCCCCTGCCCCTGCCATCCGCCATTACCTTGCCTCACCGACCGCCCGCTCCCCCTGCAGGCTGCGGCGCTGGGGGAGGACCATTGGGACTTTTATGCGTGCACCCTCTCCTCCCGCACCATCGTATACAAGGGCATGCTAAACTCCTCCGCCGTGGGCCGCTTCTTTGTGGACCTGCGCGACGAGCGCTTCACCACCCCCTTTGCCATCTACCACCGCCGCTTCTCCACCAACACCGTGCCCAAGTGGCCGCTGGCGCAGCCCATGCGCGTGCTGGGGCACAACGGCGAGATAAACACGCTGCAGGGCAACCTCAACTGGTGGGCAGGGGGGAGGGGGCTTGAGGGGCCTGACCGGAGGCGCAGGGTCAGGGAGGGCAGGCGGGCGTTGCACCGTGCATGTGTGGCAGGCCAGTCGCCGGCCGGGCAGCCAGGCAGCCAGGCAGCTGCACCCCCCTGCCCTGCCCCGCCAGTGTTGCCTGCGGCACCTGTGCCCCCCTCCCAGGCCACCCACGCCGCCCCGCCGCCCCGCCTCTGCACATGCAGGGTGGCCTCCCGCCAGGCCGGCCTGCGCAACGAGGTGTGGCGCGGCCGCGAGCACGACTTCCTGCCCCTCTGCTCCGCGCGCGGTGGGTTGCTCCGCCCCGCCCC